TAGTCTAGACGCTCTTTGTCGACAGAAGCTTTGTCGACAGTATCTGTCGACAAAACTTCTGTCGACAAAACCCTGTAGTCTAGACATACCCTAGGTTACCTCCTTCATCCATTAGGGGCCGCACACCCTCTCTGATCTCCTTCTTCTTGTTAACATGCCTGTAGAAACCTTTCTTGTTCCCCTTCACATCCTTAGCCAGTCGCAAGTCCACCTGCGCTTTCGCCTTCCTGATAACCCCCCGGCATTCTCGAGCTATACCTTTAAACTCCTCCCTGGTCATTTGTCCAAGTTTCCACTCTTTGTAAGCTTCCTTTTTGTGCTTAAGTTCACCATGGATTTCCCCTGTAAGCTAGTCCGGTCTCCTATTTCGGTATGCTTTGTGGGAGAAAAATCAAATAACTCCAATTGTGTCTAAAGGGGGTACTGTGCAGGAAATCAAAACTCTCTAAAAGAAAACTGTTGTAAGGGTTAAAAAGTTTTCCAGGCCTCTCTCCCTGTAACAGAGAGAAATCAAATTAACTCTAATCAAGACCCTTACAATGCCTCCTATCTCAAGTTCATGGATACTCCTAGTCTGTCACAATTTGTCATGTAAACCCGTATCTTTGTCACAGTTTGCCTTGTAAACTTCTCCACTCAAGTTCTCATATGGCTTTGTTCTGTAAAACTTACTTCTAGCACTCCTGGTGTGAACAGAAACATCTCAGAGTGCTTCTGCTGAGACTTTGATATGTTAAAGAAAACAATCAACAACTGAACTGTCTAAGCATTCTGTATAAAGGATCCCTAAACCCGTATCTCAGGGCTGCTTTCACTCTTGGAAGTGACAGCCTGCATGCATGCATCATAAAGTTTTTCCTTCTAGATTTCTCTCCTGCCTCACTGATTTGACCTCCAGCCTCGGTCCCTTCTGGGGGCTCTGTACCCCAGGGGAACGAGATTTCCCCCACAGCTTCACTTGCCTCCCTACTTTGAAGTAGGGGGCAAGTGTAGACATACCCCCTATTTTTCCTGCAGACCTGTTGTATAATCCTAGGCAAGGAACTTTGCTTTAGTTTCCCCTCCCACAGTCTTTGTGCCTTGTTTGTTATACTGTGAGACTCAAATCTTAAATATGTAGGTGCTTCCCAGGAAGTTAAGCATTTGAGGATTTCGGCCAAAGTTCTTTGAGACATAGAGGCTACGTCTACACTGGCATGATTTTCCGGAAATGCTTTTAACAGAAAGGTTTTCCGTTAAAAGCATTTTTGGAAAAGTGCGTCTAGATTGGCAGGACGCTTTTCCGCAAAAGCACTTTTTGCGGAAAAGCGTCCATGGCCAATCTAGACGCGGTTTTCCGCAAAAAAGCCCCGATCACCATTTTCGCGATCGGGGCTTTTTTGCAGAAAACAAATCTCTGCTGTCTACACTGGCCCTTTTGCACAAAAGTTTTTCGGAAAAAGACTTTTGCCCAAACGGGAGCAGCATAGTATTTCCGCAAAAGCACTGACAATCTTACATGAGATCGTCAGTGCTTTTACAGAAATTCAAGCGGCCAGTGTAGACAGCTGGCAAGTTTTTCCGCAAAAGCAGATGATTTTGCGGAAAAACTTGCCAGTCTAGACACAGCCAGACTGTCTGCTTCTTACTATATGCCTGTGCAGTGCTTTGCACAATGGTGCTAGTCTATATTATGGGGGGAAGTCAACTTATGGTATGCAATTCCAGTGACATAAATAATTGGAGTAGCTGGAGTCAATGTACCTTCAAGTCAAACTTCGGTGCCTTTCCCACAGTGGGAGGTTGACGCTAGAAACTCTTCCATTGACTTCCCTTGAGGCTAGGGGGGGGGGGGGGGGGAAGGGCTGCTTCAGTGTTCAATTTAGTGGGTCGTTATTGGACCTGCTAAATCAAATGTCAGAAGATCCACCACCACAGCGTCAACCTTCCCACAAGTCTAAACATGGTCTTAGTTCAAGCTTCTGAATACACTGTATGACAGCTGATAATTCTTCTGAATAACTGGAGAATTTTGAGAATTATCAAGTAAGTGCATCATTTTTAAAAATCAACCCAATGGCAGCCAAAATAATGGTACCGATTTAGTTTCTTTTGACAAGTATAATTTATTTGCAGTTATTTGTATAAATGGTTTCTGGCATACTGGTAGATGTGCTGCAGTATCTTTTGTAAAGTTAATACTAGCACTCTGTACTTATATCACACTTTCCATCTCAGCATGCCTTACAAAGGTGGGTTAAATAGCACTATCTCCATTTTACACCAAGAGAAACCGAGGCATGGAGCGGTGAAGTGATTTGACTAAGGTCACGCAGCAAGGCAGTAGCAAACTCAGAAACTGAATCCAGAATTCTTGACTCCCAGTCATGTGGGCTAGCTGTTAGACAACACTGCCACCTTTGGGAGCTTAAACAGCTCTGATCTCATTGCTACCCTCTGCCTCTGCTATGAAGTATTAGCTTGGTGGATTTATTGGGTTATCTGTGAGAATTCACAGGTCAGAGGATTAGCAAAGTGACGATTAATACAGTTCAACTGTGCAGAGTAAAGTTGTAGGAGAGCGAATTTTTGAGCAATGGAAAATGGTTTTGAAACCAAGCACAGCTCCATTAATTTTGGAGGAACTAAGCTGATTGACACTAGATGCGCTGCCAAACTGGATCAGATCGGAGGTCCATCATCTTATACCAGACAGTGGCCAGCACTGGATGCTTCAGAAGGAAGCTTAAGATCCTCACAGGAGACAGCTGTGTGGTAATCTACCCCCTATATTGTCTCCCCCAATCACTATTAGGTAGAGATTGGCTTAAACCCTGAAGCGTGAACACCAGTGGAAATTCTGACCCCAGTTTTTTTATCAAGTAAGGATCAGCTGTTTCCAAACTGTTATCCAGCAGTGGGGAATACTGCTAGATTGACATCCCATAAACTGAATTAACAACCAGAGTTATCATTCTTTTAATAAACCAACCTTACATTCTTCAGCAAATCAATCTAAACATCACATGGACCCCACAAATAAATAGTTCTGTCTTGTGATCCGGTTAGACGACATTACTGGGACTGACAAGCACGCTGTTTATTTTCCCACAGACGGCACGTGGCTAACACTGTGATCTGCTCTTTTCTCAAAGTTCTTCCAATCCCTCTGACCAGTATTTTAGAATAAAATGTCACACTCTCTGCAAGGTCCCAGGCACTTTTGTCACCTAAGATGTGATTCCTTCTAGGAACAAGATCAGCATGTCAGAAGCCGCCCCTCCCCATTTAAACAGAACACTGAGTAGATCCATATACTAACACTTGGCATGGCAAAGCAGTGTGTGCCTATGGTTAGGGCTGTGAGGTAGGAAGCAGGAAATCGTAGGTTTAATTGCTAGAACTGTGAGTTACTGCACCGTTGTGCCTCTCACTTCCTTTGTGTGTCTTGCCCATTAAAACTGAAAGCCATTTGGAGCAGAGGCTGTCTTGTACTAATACCATAGAGCATAGAGTCAGGAGCCTAGAATTTGGGGATTGTTTGAAAACTCCAGTGTATGTGTTTGTACAGAGCCTGGCACAATGGGAGCCAAATCTCAGCTGGGACCGATACGTTCTACTATATTACAAAGAATCGACAACACTTTCCTTGCAACAGCCCCATGCAGGCTACGACTAGACTGCAAGCCTCTTTCGAAAAAGAGCATCTAGACGACAACCAGTACTTTCGAAAAAACAAGCCACTTTTTCGAAAGAGAGCGCCCAGGCAGTCTGGATGCTCTGTCAAAAAAGCACAGTTTGCATTACAGAGCGCCTTTTCTCAAAAGAGCACTTTGGAAAAAAGGCGTTCTTTCTCGTAAAACAAGGTTTTCCGCAGGCGAAAAAACTGCCGCGTTCTTTCGATTTACTTTTGAAAGAACACGGCAGCAATCTAGACGCAGGGGAAGTTTTTTTGAAGAAAGGTCACTTTTTACGAAAAAACCCTGTAGGCTAGACATCCCCACAGTGAACTAACATTATTTCTCCTACGGGTTCTTTCTAAGAGGCAACTCAGCACCTGTGCTAAAATACCTCTGGTGGATGGCAACAATACAATGCAAACACCTCAGCTCAAATTTTCAAAGACACAGTTGTCACATACCTTCATTTTACATCATGATAACTCTTTGGAGGAAATCAGATCACACTCTATATCTTTCTTATGCATAGCCTGAATATTTGATTCATTTAAGCCACTTCCATTGTTTTCAGGAGTATGCAACTGACTGCTGCAGGAACATTTCTGAGGAGGGAGAATCCTATATCTTTTACCATTCAAAATACACAGAAAATGACACGTATGTCCAAAATTTATTTGCTTTTCTTTGTTTTCCACCCAGGACCGATGCCAAAATAAATCCTCAATAATATACATATTTTTTGTTAATTGTTGCTGATATTTACAAAATTTGTGATACTCTATGAAGAATAAATTATGTACACTCATGATAAACCAGACAGCAAATGTTCATTCATAATATATATTTACACAGATATATGTATATCTATATACAAACGTCTCTTATTGACTTCGCATCTCTCAGCTAACAGTGTCCTGTCACTGCTGGGCCATCAATATAAATGTTAGAGTCTATACAGACTGTGCAAATCAGATACAGCTGGTGTCTAAAATGTTGTCTAGCAAACACATGGTTAAATGAGTTGAAATTTCCATGAGCCCTCCTTCCACAGTTTACAGGCCTCTCTCCATTATTGGTGCCATTTCTCCAGTAACCATGGAGACAAAAGGTTCTATTCCAGCATCATTATTACAAGTCTTTCTTGGGTTTCCTCTTCGTATTGATTCTCTCAAATTAGGCAACACATGCTTATTTAAGCCAATATCTTTTTTTTTTTAGCTTGAATCGTAATTTGACATTGTAAAACATCTACAAAGTCTCGGGCACTAGGGAAGCAGGTGCAAACTACTAATTGTGGTTGTTATGCTTGGTTAAAAAAAGCCATGCAAGTTTTGAAATAATTTGCAGTTTCCATCTATATTTCTACACACTCAGACCTTGGAATGAAACCATTGTTACATTGCTACATTCAACATCGCCTTGAAGCCAAAACATACCCAGGAAGAGAAACATGAATGAAGGAATTTATATGTGGCCACCTTTCCAGGAGCTGCAGGCCAGATGCTCAGCTGATGTAAATTGGTGCAGCTACAATGGCACCAATTTAGAGCCGCTCGGAGTCTGACCGAATGTCTTACGATGCGCTGCTGCCAAGATCTCAGCACCTGCAGCTCCCCTCGATCGGAAGGGAGGGTGTCCAGGCAGCAGCATGCTGGGAGGGATGCCAAGATCGTGACTGCAGCTTGGAAGAGCTGAGACATGTTCTAATGCAGAGCCAGCTGGGAGACGATTCTTATCTTGGCAGTGTGCGGCCGATGCACTACAGTTCACACAGCGCCCGGGAGGCAGTGGGAGGGGGAGAGGGCAGGCAGCATTTCAGCATAAGATCAAACAGAGGGTAAGGTTTGCTCCCTTGGACTGAAGTATTGAGAGCTTAGTGTTCCCATTAGGGGACAGTCAGGTGTCTGGGGCAGGACCTGTCTCTGTGGTATTTGCTCCAGGAGTGTGTAGTGGAAAGGGGTCCTGATCCCTGCTTGGAATCCCTGGACACTACCACAGTAGAAATTAAAAGCTGCAGCAACAAGCGCTGGTCAAAGGGAAGAGAGTTCTCTGCTCTGGGGAAGACATTAGCAGCTACAAGGTGTGTGAGGAAGGAGCGGTCCCTTGCTTATGTGGAGCTTTCAGATCCATGATGAATACTAGGCCTAAACTTACAGATCTTGGCTAGTTCCCTCTTCATTGCCCCCCACCCCTGGCAGCATGGTTAACTGGTCCTCTCCTTGGCACATACACAGATTGTACCCCCTTCAGCGATGGAGGATGTGGGGAGGTAACTAACTCTGCTCTGAGGAGCATTAGAAACTGTAGTGATGCTCCCTGGAAAATTCACAGGATCCTGGGCAGCGTTCCCTGTAAGCTGAGTGCTTGGGAGGTCACCCAAGAGAGAGTCCAGTACCACCCAGCTGATTCGCAGAGCACCCACAACCAGCAGCATGTGTTTCTACTGATTGTGTATATGTGCATGTCTCAGTGCACATAACAAAATTTATTCTGCACATAGGTGGAAAAATGTTGAGGGTCCTGAGTAGAATACGCTCCAGAGGATTACTTCTCCACAGCTCTATATATGTGCTATCCATGCTGTATTCTGCATTCTTAGGTATATGCATCCATCCCTGAGTTCTGCTCCAACTCTCCCTGGTGTGAGGGTTCGGAGGAAGGAAGCATGAGCGTCCTTCTTTATGGTGTTATGGGACACCATAAAGTCATCATCGGCCAACAACTTTGCTAGACTGGCCATGTGCTCCGGGTGCATGAACAGCACCTCCCAAAACATTTGTTTCCGAGCTGAAGGAAGGACTGAGGCATGCTGGGGGCCAGAGGAAGCGATTTAAGGACATGCTGAAGGCAAACATGAAAAAGTGCAGCATCGGTGTCAACACTTGGAAGAATCTTGCCCGGGACCATCCCCAGTGGAGAGCAGTAATCCATGAGCGGGTGGCACAATGTGAGAGGTCTCACTGCCACGCAGATGAAAGAGAGGTGATGAAGGAGAAAAAAGGGACAAAAACTGTGCTGTGCCCATCCAACAGCCACCAGCACCTGCCCCGTCTGCGGTAAGACCTGTGGCTCCAGAATCGGGCTGGTCAGCCATCAATGGATGCACGAAGAGGAGGGTGACAGGAAGATGTCTCGCTCGTTAGTGAGTGACCGCCAAGACAGATGGGACCATTAAGACATTCAAACCTTACAGGGTTGAAATTCACAATTGTAGGAAATCACATGCTCTGTTGCTGATAAATCCAATAACCCACAGTAATATCTACCTCAAGAGATTTTTTCATGACCACTATAATTTGATGCAGTTGATGTATCTTGCAACACAAACAAATCCCTTAAATCATTGGTTTGGATTTACCTACCTAGTTACATACACACTAGAAATGGGCCCAACTCATAGACTGGCAATCTCACAACGTTTCCAGGATACTGGGGGGTTTGTTCCCTCTGCTACAGAAAGAGAAAGAACAGCTGTAAGGCCAGGATCTGAATACTCTCATTATTTGAGAGGGGAAGGTGTTTGGTTCAACCTATTTCAAATTTGGATCCAGATTTCTTTCTCAGTTTGGGCCCACCTCTAAGTGCATTGCGAATTCCAGAAAGTCTAGGAGATGTTGGTAGTAATTTCAGTGTTTCACCTAGGAACCACTTGGTCACAAAACAAGTCCCTTTCTGAAATATTCCCTCCTCTGTCTTTTTCTTTCCTTCTGTGTATTTATGCACAAATATGCCCATATTTATACACCCACATGCTATATGTGCGTAACACCATTCTTGGGATCTTTTTCCTGATAGACCTAGTATTAGAGTAGGCCTTGGAAAAGGACCTAAAACTAACTGCAGAGATATATACTTCTGAGAAAGCCTATAAGCCACAGTTCTATACACTGAGATATATTTTCCTATCAGCTAGGATGTGACAGGAATTTTCACCAGTTTGCCAGCCTATTGTGCGTGCACTTAGTGCTACCATTATGCGGTGTGCGGTGTGAGACACTAGGGGCCTGATTTCCATTTCCAGGGGACGTCAAAGATGTTTGGGATACTCGGGACCCCTGAAAATCAGGCCTGAAGTCTCTCAAACTCAAAACAGCTGCCACTTTTGAACACTTCTTCCAAGTCACACAAGTGGCCAGGAATGATACCCAAGTCCCTGAGTACTGAAGTCAATAGGTGTCTAATCTCTTTATGCATGGGCTACATTTGGGCCTTCTGCTTGCCATACTCCCTGATCATCAGTGCACTCTTCCCAGGGAGCCCCCTGCAGACTCTTCAAGCCCCCAGAGCAGGCTGCCCCAGGCTTTCTTGCAGGCACCTTGCCTGGTTTCAAATTTAGCCTACTGCAGCTCATGAACCATATAGGTTCCTTCCTCCCTCTCAGAGCCCTGAGCCAGGTAGCAATGATTTTAATCTAGCTCAAGGCAAGAGAAAGGCTGAATCCATAGCTCCTGGCTCCAGGGAGCATTACTGTAATATTCACCGAACTCCTTGGATGCGCAGCCTATTTGGAGAAAGGGCATTGATGGAGTCTGCTAGAGAAAGGGTTGGGCTGATCTACATTTGATCTCAGTTGGCTCATGAGAAAACCAACAGCACCCTAAAACAGAGGCTATGTGGAAGAACTGCACTTGCCGCTCCGCTGTGATGTCTTCCAGCACTCTACAGCAACAGCCCAAAACACTGGAGTCTGTAATCTGCACTTGGGCAAACCAATTATCGGACCAGTTCCTGGTGTTCTGACTCACCTGGGACACTCTCTGCCTCTGGGCAAAGGATCAGCATGAGACCTTTAAGCCACCTAAGTCCTCAACAAAAGCAGTACAGACCATGTGACGTCTTCTATTTTGGGGGGCAGGCGTGAAGGCCATCCCCAATGTGCTTATTAAGATTAATTATTAGAGACAAGCGCTGATACAACATTTTGTATCCACATCTCTATCCACAAGAATGAGCCACGGATCTTTGCCTCAGCCTCCGAGGATATGGATACCCACAGCTATATAGCCGATGGCCACGGATCTGCAGGGCTCTATTGATGAGGACCAAAAGAGCAAACTGCCAAGAGGAAAAGTAATATACTGGCTTCAGCACTTGCTGGTATTCAAGACCACATAGCGTGGATGAGTCAATTAGGGTAACTCAGGATCCTAAGTCCCATTGGAAGCCAAGAGGGTTTAGGCACTTCTGAAAAAAGTACCGTATGCTTTATTGAAAGTTAGAGTCTACGGCACTTTTATTTTACCTCGTCTCTCTGGGGATACGTCTACACTGCAGAAAAAAGTCAGAAAAGATCATTTAATTTGCGTATCTTTTTCTGCTTTTTTTTCCGAAAGAGGCTTTTCCGAAATTTGGCCTGTCTACATGGGGCCAAATTTAAGAAAAAAAACCCTCCTCTTTTGGAATATCCCTCATTCCTCTCACTGAGAGGAAGACAGGGAAGCCGAAAGAACACGTCCACCTTTGCAGAAACTGTTCCGAAAAAGCGGACGCCTTCTTTGGATGCGGCAGAGTTTTTTCGGGATACCTCTGCTATCCCAGAAAAGCCCTGCAGTCTAGACATAGCCTGGGCATCAGTTCCTCCACCACAAATGTCCTGAATGACTCTGGGCAAGTCACATAGGCCCACAACCTCAAAGGTTTTTAGACACCAGCTACATTGCACAGCAAACCTGGGCACTGATTCAGGTCTGAGCTCAAGCCCCTTTTCTGTCCACACACAAATCAGTCTGACTCAGGTCACTAGACACTCAGAACCCATCTAGGATTCTGCTGAGGGCTGGTCAAAGTTTGAGTCCCCTTGCAACTTTGGTCCAAGCCCTGTTATTTTGCAGTGTAGCTGCAACTCCCACCGCAGATTCAAGTCAGAAGTCTGCAGAATGCAGCCTGGACAAGTTAGCGTGGCTGTGAGTCCAGGGTCCAGCAATTGTAAATCCAGGTTTACTGTGGACTCAGACACAGGCTTGGAACCAGCAAGTTCACAGTTCTGGGTCCCCAGAGACCGGACTGACAATGGCACATAGATGGACCCAAAGATACAGAGGTCAATGGGAGTTTGGTGCCTAAGCATGTAGAAAATCCCACCAAATGGCAAGATCTCTAGGTGCCTTTAGAAATCTGGACCTCTCTGTCTCTGCCTTAGTTTCCCCTCTGCAAAATGGAGATAATATATTGCTCTACCGTACGGGGTGCTGTCAGGGTAAATACATGACAGACTCCCGGGTGCTGAGATGCTACAGCGATGGGGACGAATAAGACCCTTCGATTGATTTCAGCCGGCTGGCCTCATGGGGAATTGGCACTGAGCTGTGAGTGGCACTTTTTTAGCACCATTGCTACAGAATACGTATTATTTAATGATTCTTTTAATTAGGCTTATTGCTTTTGTTTTCTAATATCACGCTGTTAGAGGTAAAAATGGCTGGGTGTAAATGAAGGAGACAAAATACGTCCTTTTTTTGTTCATTGCTGCACAAATGAAGCAGGAGAATTAAGACCCTTATTTTCAGTAGTGCAGCCATACATGGGGGTGCGGGGCTGCTGCAGCGCCTTTGGGCTCCCGGTCTCGCCTAGCGCTCCAAGTCCCAGCTGCCTCCCCACGTATCATGGGCTCTGCTGCCAGCCCTGCGCCTGAGGACCCAGCTGCTGCCCTGTGTTCTGGGGGCTCCGCTGCCAGCAGCTCTGCTTTGCCCCTGTGTGTTGGGAGTTCTGCTGCTAGCACCGGGCCCAGGGTCCCGGGGGCTGCCCCACACACCAGAGCTTTGCTCCTGGCCTCAGCTGGGTGGGGAGAGAATGGGGTAAAGGGTATGTCAGCATCCTCATGCTTAAAAATGGTCCCGCGCCATCAACTGCAGCCCGGTGCTGAGCGCCATGCACTGCCACCGAAGGGCTTTGCACCTGGCAGGCCCTTTTACCCCGACTGCAGAAGGTTCTCTCATCCCAGTTCTACTGAGTCAATCTGCACTGCTTGTACAGGTGAAAATCAGGAGTCACTTCATTCAGATCAGTGGCCTGACACTGATCCGAATGGAAGGGAGAGGAGACTCAGGATCAGGGCCATCTTTGGAACCATTGCTGTGGACTACAGTAGTACCTGGATTTGACCAGGGACATTAGAATGTGCCAGACCCAAAGTGCATTGAAGTCGATGGGCCCTTAAGGCCAGTTCAGCATGTGCGTAATGTTACGTGCACCCTTAAATGCCTCCCAGGACTGAGGCCTGAGAAAAGGTAAATCGTCGCTGGCCAGCTAGCTAGAGGCTGAGATCTGCTCTACAGATCTGACAGCTGGCCACAGCACCCACAGGAGGAGGAGGTCCCTTCTTTTGGATGGTTTATCAAATGATGGGGAATTTCCCTTCTCTTCTGCTGCTGTTGAGATTGTCAGCTCCGCTTCTGGCCACGGAAAGCATGGGAAAATGGGAGCCAAAGAAGGCTGTGCATGAAGCAGGGGCTGATCGATATAATCCACTAGAAACACTCGTGGGAGGCTCCCATCTAGTCCAGAATAAAATGGGAATTGTAAAGGGAATAGAGGAAACCCTGAGGTCTTTATGCAGGCAGAACCCCCTGGCAACCCAAGGAGATGGGGAGGTGGTGGGATTGGAGACTAGGCCAATACAGAATAGGGGCTCCAAGATCTAAGGAATGGCTGGACCAGCTGTTAGACCCATCCCCTGCATTCACCCTGTGCAAAGCAGGGCGTCACATTCAGCCTGTGGCTCTGAATTGCTGCCCAGGCCTTATGCTGACTCTTTGCAAAGGATGCTTCAGCCAGGGTGGGCATTCATGGTCCAGCACAACAGGAGGCAGTTCTACTCTGGGTTGGCAGGGCTCGGCAGAGGCTGCCCAACGCTGCCACACAGTTAGGGCCCAGGTGCATTTTCAAAGGATGCGCTAGAAGGTAGAGCTCGGGAATGATGGGAAACTCTTGCCCAGTGATTAAAAGCAAGGGGCCAGCTTCCACCTCCACTGACCATCTCAGTGAGTGCAGAGCACGAGCCATGCTGCCCAAGTGTTGCTGGCTGTTTGGCATATTGTTTTGGAGCAGAGGTCACCCACAGGGCAGCAGCGTTCCAGTACACCCTGAACTCTTCTATCACATATACACAAACCAGTTTCCACCAGGGAGGATCTGGCCCATAAATTGCCTTGTGCCCGTGTTATAGTGCATAAGCTCATACCACATTTGCATGGATATCACATATAAATTACATACGTCCAGCTCAGTCCTTCGCCGGTGTCCCTGGCTCTGATTCTGACAGAGCCCATTCACACCAGCTGAGAAGCTGTCCTGATCATTCTAGAGGCAACACAATATTGTATAATGCAGCTGATGGTTGCAGAACAATAGCGTCAGGAGTTCTTTAACACACAGTGCCACCTGTCCTTTGTGCCATCTCTGGTCAGCTGCAGAGTCCTGCTTGTGACACCAAGATTAATTGCTAGTTCCACCTCATGTGATGAGCACAGGTGCTTAACTTTCAGCTCTCCTTCCTTCACTTGCCCAGTTCTGTGCTCCAGGCCTGTGAATACCAGGAAGAACCCAGCAACCTTTGCCTTGCTTCTTACATTTAGTCAGTATCTTTAACCCAGCCTTGTTTCTGTGTTTTGTTTTGTTTTACTTCCATGAATCTCCTCCAAGCCTTCGGAGAATCTATAAACACTATAAACATGAATACTGTATGGTCTACTAAGAAAATAGATATTTGTATGTATATTCGTTATTCAGACTCATGCAACAAATATCCATGCAGCAGTACTGTATTACTGATTACATTTCACTGCAGTATAAATATATTATAGGCCACAGCAGAGTTTGCTCCGGTATTCTAAAAAAAGATGCTTTTTTCAACTCATTTTGAATGTGTCAGTAGATGTGTCTTTGGTGACCCTTGAAATAGTGAAGATGGAAGTGTCATCTTAAAAAAAAAAACCAGAAAAAACGCAGGCTCTTGATTTGTTATGTGTCCCTTCCTATCACCGGCATAGAAAATTGAAGACTTACTAACTAGAGTTCTGCCATGCTAATTGTCTCTCCCCAGGTCTCACACTGCAGTGGGTAAAGCCATTGCTGCATGCAGCATTTTCAGTTATGAAACACAAGCCTGCATGATGTATTGCAGAAATCTGAACCTTACAGGAATTCGGACTCCTGGCTGTATGCTCCTTTAATTAAACCAAGCATGACCTATTCCTATGAATCCATAAGCTTGGAAGCTAGATGTGTGCTATTTCCTTGGGATATAATTTTGTATGCTGAGTGCAATGAAATGCTTTTTCTGCTTGACATTTATGGGTACTGTTGTTTACATGAGGTTTCTCCACAGACTTTTTTGTTCAAGATCCCTGGGATTGCAAGTGATGTGATTTTGTTTTGAATGCCTATGTGTTCCATAGCTCTGGAAACCCATAAACTTGTGATGTTAAAAAAAAAAAAAACAATTTGTGCATGAAGGCTTATTCGCTGTCTAAATAAAAAGTTAGAAAGTCACTTACACAACTATTGCTTCCCATGCAGAACCAAATGCAGGCTGTAGAACATACTGTATTAACTACAATGCAGGGTATTATGCAATAACTGCAATTGTTCCACTTCAGCTTTAAATAGGTTACCAGGCGGTAAGGGCTAGACATCGGTTAGCATTTTGGTGATATTAACGTAATTTGTGTTAGCCAGGGTGCAATTGGCTGTCTTCAAGTTCTCCTCTCTAAAGTCTTCATTACTGTTGTTTACACCTTCCTGTATCTCCATATAATCAGACTTACTAATAGTGGAGGCACTTCTGCTTTTCTTTAGGTCAGGGGAAGAAGGGATCTTTGGGCAGCTGGTCACTTGCAAATATTGGGCTTGCTCCTCTCCTTCCGTCTCGCGGTGATAGAAGTAGTTGAAGTTGGACACTATGACCGGCACTGGTAAGGCAATCGTTAACACACCCGCAATGGCGCACAAGGAGCCAACTATTTTCCCACCGATGGTGGTGGGGACCATGTCTCCATAGCCAACTGTGGTCATGGAAACCACAGCCCACCAGAATGCGTCCGGGATGCTGGGAAACTGAGACTCGCTCTCATCAGCTTCTGCAAAGTAGACGGCACTGGAGAAGAGGATGACACCAATGAAGAGGAAGAATATCAAGAGGCCTAGTTCTCGCATGCTGGCCTTGAGTGTCTGCCCCAGGATCTGCAGCCCTTTGGAGTGCCTGGATAGTTTGAAGATCCTAAAAACCCGCACCAAGCGGATGACTCGGAGGATAGCCAGGGACATGGCCTGCTGCCCTTGTTGGCCATCCTCTGGTTTCTCAGCCAGTTCAGTTCCTAGGGTGATGAAATAGGGGATGATGGCGACAATGTCAATGATGTTCATGATGTTGGTAAAAAACCCGGCCTTGCTGGGGCAGGCGAAAAACCTTACCAGGAACTCGAAGGAGAACCAAATGATGCAAAGAGTCTCTACTATAAAGAAAGGGTCTGTGAAAGAGGTGGACTTCTGATAGCCCATGGTACTGTTGGAATAAGGGTGGTGGCTTACCCCGCTGCCATGCATGTCGTCGTTCTCATCCCGAAAAACAGGCAGGGTTTCCAGGCAAAAGCTCACAATGGAGATTAAAATCACCATGACGGAGACAATAGCTATAATCCTAGCCGGCCCTGAGCTTTCTGGATACTCGAATAGCAGCCACACTTGTCTCTGAAACTCGTTCTCCGGTAAAGGTCTTTCTTCTTCCTTAATGTAGCCTTCATCCTCTCGAAACATCTCCATGGCTTCTTCCCCAAGTTCATAGAACCTGATCTCCTCCGAGAAGATGTCCAAGGGCACATTAACTGGCCTCCTCAACCTACCACCCGATTGGTAATAGTACAAAATAGCATCGAAACTGGGTCTGTTCCGGTCAAAAAAATACTCATTACGGAGAGGATCGAAATATCTCATTCTCTTTTTTGGGTCCCCTAGTAAGGTCTCTGGAAACTGAGCTAGAGTCTTGAGCTGGGTTTCAAAGCGCAGCCCTGAGATGTTAATGACCACCCGCTCGCAGCACTCATGATCCGTTTCAGGGTTATAGGTGTCCTGCGGATGGCCTGCCAAGGCTGCTGCTTCATCTGTGGGATCTCCAGTAGCAACTGTCATATTTAGGTTTAAAAGCAAGCCTTAATCTAAGCTCTTCCGGCGCCTGATGGTGGGATCGGATCCAGGGGAAGGCTGCTATCCTGGGAAAGGACAAGTTCATAGGTTTGGAAGCAGCTCATGAAAATTCAGAGGGATGATCAGGAAAGGGAAATACTTTAGCCTGCTGAGAAAGAGAGAGATGAAATGAAGTCATGTGTATTAGGAATCTGCCTCTGTTAGAATATACTTCATATTTCTCAGCTGATTTTAATTTGCCTTCTCCGTGCAAAGTTTGAAAACTCCTGTCCCAATATCTGTTGCTGATGAAAAAGCACTTGAGGAAACCTTTCTAGTGACATCGAGAGAAACATTTGCAATGGCAAATTCATATTGGGGGGGGGGGCTTAAACACAAGAAAAAATCACTGACTAAAAGGCTTGCTATCTTTTCAAAGGACTAAACTCTGGATGCCAGTGAAAAAGAATAAGATGTAAAATAGTTTCTGCTCATGCACTTTAGGGCTAGAAATCAACCATGCAACAGCGGGCAAGTCAGTGTTTACCTAGAGGTGCACATTCATGGCTTTAACTTAAACGCACTCATAGTTCTTTTGCACTGTAAATCAAACTGCAAGTCAACATGCTTCGCTATAATCATTTTTCTCTCTGTCTTTAGGCACTGTAGCCAAACGGTTTGGTTTATTTATTTGTGCAGCTAATTAATTTGCACACACCTGTGCTAGCTGACAGTTGGACTCCTGCCTTTCCCTTCCTCCAGCTCTTTTCTTTGGCTCCTCTCCCCTCATACTCTGCAAACCACCACTGCGTACAGAAAACAAATTGCATTACCTGGAGAAGCAAATCTCAGTGTCTCTTACTGACACAGCTTAATTGACTCGGGGGAAATCCTAGAGAGAAATACAGGCTTCCAAAATCGCCATAAGTTCCTCTCTTCGAAGTTCAAAAGAATGGTGAGTCATTGTAGGAAGGGTGGGGGGAAGGAGCGGAGAGGTCTGGGAATGAGGTGGGTTTGGTCAGGCAAAGAAGGAAAAGCCTCTTGAGGGCCGTAGCAGTTCCTTACTTCACAGCCGATGAGTGTCTTTCTGAAGCTCTCTCTGTGATGGTAGAAAGATGCTAAGATCAGCACAAACCCTGATGTCCCCAGTGTCCTCCGGAGGTGTGGCGCTGCCTGGAAAAAACAGCAGGAAGGTAAAGAGCTGGAGGTTGCTCTAAAGCCCCAGTTCCTAGAGGCAACCTTCTTCCTCCTGCAGGCTGTTTTATGAGTCCTCACTGCTCTGGATTGCAACAAGAGCGAAGGACTGAGAGCACCCGTGGCCACGTTAAAAACCGAGCTACATCTCTGTCTGTCGCCTGCCTGGCGGCCCCTCGCATAAAACAAATCCACCCTGCACGTGGGAATTAGCGCCGGGGGTCGCAGGGGCAGCCTGGCACCGGGTGCTGCGCAATGTGATCTCGATCGTCTTTCTCCTCACCAGCGGATCCTGCCCCCTGCCATGATCAGCGCCTCTATCGCTGCGCCAGCTTCGCAGTCACGCCGCCCCTCCACGGGTGAAGCCTGCTACCGGACTCTCATGCACTAGCGTCTTCGCAGAGGCTTCAGTTGACAGCCGGGTGTGATGCTCAGCATTGTCTCTTGAGCTTTGCTCTCCAAACAACGCCCCCTCAGCCCCACGGGAGCTCAACTTCTGCGGCCAGAAATTGTCCCTGAGACCTTCATGCCCAAATCCCCAGCACAGCATGGCTGCATGTAGCATGGTCAAACCCAGATAATCCCAGCCAGCTGGGACGCTGCTTTGGAGGACAGTGTTTTGCATTGCAGGGAAGTCCAACCAACCATTTTCCTCCCAAAGAGAGAATCTCCAGCATCCCTTCTTCAGCAGCAGACAGCAGCCGGGCTTGCTACTTTGAGCCAGGATTAGAGAACTAGGGAGGGGAGTCAACTGGAATATAACCCTTTGCTCCTAGGTTCCTAAGCAGCGATTTCTGCATGAGCCTGGGCAATTATGCCTCTTGCTCTGTCTCTTCATTATCCACCTGGCAGGCTTTGCTCCCCATCCCCCTTTTGTTTGAAATCTCCCATTTCCTCCCCATTCTCCTCACCCTGCTCCTTAGGCACTAGAGAAAATAGTACAACCCTGACAAGGCTTGCAGCATTCAACTGCTTCACTTAACCCTTTTTTAACAGGCCTGCATTAGGGAAGATTAACATTTACACCACGTCTCCCCCCTCCCCACTTTCCTCCTCCCTGCAATGACTTGTTTGGAGAATCTGGCCCTTTCAGCCCCTTTCAAGAATCTTTTTTTAAGCCAGGAAGTGCTGCAAAACTGACAAGCCTCCTATTGGACCCAGTTTCCTCTGCAAGACAAACCAAACCAACTAACCTTGATTTACATCATTATTTTTCCTTTGTCCATTAAAACAAGCAACCCCCCCCCCCCAAAAAAACCACCCCACAAATCAATGCTAGTGTAGCAGCAGAAATATTTCAATACTTGGATTATTATTTCTATTCTGTATCTGTCTGTAGCAAAACAACAACAGCTAGTGCATATCGGACATAGTGATGGTGTCCTCTCAGCACAGCCTTTTTCAAATAGGACCCCCCCCATCCATCTCTCTGTACTGCTGGATGATTTCATGCATCCCTGGCTCAGGAAGGTTAGAAATAAGTGGGGTGATGGGAGCCCCATCCTTTGGTCTGCTTCGCGCTCATTGAGGGTTTTTGGGGAGAGATGTTAAAAACACCAATATTAGTTGCATGCACAGACCTGATTCAGAATCAAGCTTACTGCTCAGGATGCGCCGTTCCCCACATTTCAGTGCGCTCAGCATGATTTCGGAGGGACTGAGGGAAGATCGCATGCAACGGGGGAAAGGTCGTGTTTGCTTAACCCTTTCCATGCCAAATAGGAAGCATCCGTTCTCACAGCTTGTGGTAACCCTCTGGTTAACGGGGAGAAAAGGCAGCGACTTACAATTGGTTCTGCAGTCAGGCATGCAGCGAATACATAAGGAGCTGTCTGCACTAGGGTAGCGTTCCTTACCTGGGAACAGCAGAGACTAACTTAAAGGGGACACGGCTAGGAGGCGGGAGGCAGGAACTAGATGGCAAAACTGCACTACTGCTTCTGGAGCTGAGCCGCCGCACACTGAAAGGCTGCAGAATGAATATTCATCTGGTTAACACGACATGGGGTTTTCTCCCTCCAAAGCAGAGACCAAGTTTCCACCCACTGGGAAATACTAAAATCCTTGTTTTGTGCCATTATTGAACCTGGTTCCGTGGCCATATTCTATGCAAGAGTCTGCAACTGTCCTTTTAAGATTCTGAAGGGTGACGAATAACCAGCTCCTCAGGATGGAAGCGTTTAACCGGTTCCCTGAGAAGCATCAGCTTATCGGTTTCTGTTACGGTTAAACTCTTCTGCCCTGCAGGCACATGCCAACTCCCACTGCACGCTAGCTCCCAGGAAACAGTAAGTCTGCTGCAGGCCATTGTGAATATGCTAGCCTGGGCTGCCTGGGGCAGCCTCCCCTCAGTGAGTCACACCCAAAATTCCCATCCCCGTCCAGACACCAGTGCAGTGTCCAGGGAAACTGAGGCACACACACACAGTGTTCCGAAGAGGCTGGCGAGAGGCTGTTCTCAGTAGTGACAGATGGGAGAACAAGGAGCGATGGTCTCAAGTAGCAGTGTGGGGGAGGTCTAGGTTGGATAGTAGGAAAAACGATTTCCCTAGGAGGGTGGGGAAGCCCTGGGATGGGTTCCCTAGGAAGGGGGTGGAATCTCCATCCCTAGAGGTATTTAAGTCTCAGCTTGACCAAGCCCTGGCTGGGATGATTGAGTTGGGGTCCTGCTTTGGGCAGGGGGCTGGACTCGATGACCCCGCGAGATCTCTGCCAGCTCTATAATTCTATGATTCTAGAGTTACTACAGAACAGCACAGAACAGTAAAATCACATAACAGGATACCACCCTCCGAGAGGCTCTGGGGGACAGACCCATAGTCTCCTACAGACAACCACCTAACCTCAGGGTGATTCTTACCAACAACCACAGGACATACCACACCGATACCAATCCTGGAACTTTCCCTTGCAACAAACCCCGTTGCCAGCTTTGTCCACATATTCACTCTGCTGACCTAACCATGTCAGTTACAAGATCAAGAACATATATTCCTGTTCATCCAGAAATATAATTTATGCCATCATGTGCCAACAGTGTCCTTCTGCTATGTATATTGGACAAACTTCTCAGATACTTCGCCAAAGAATCAGACAGCAGACATCTTCACAAGGATAAACCAGTTTCTTTTCATTTCAACCAACCTGGGCATAGTCTTAACAACCTTATTACATGTATCATAAGGTACGTCTACACTAGCCCCCTAAATCGATCTAGGGATTCCAATTTAAAGCCCCTAATTCAAATGAGCTGGTAAACCTCATTGCAGGAGGAATACCAGCTAATTCGAGGTAGGGCTTTAAATTGGAATCCCGTTTCACTGCCGCATGTAGACGTGGGCAGTTACTTCAGGCTAGTGAATTTCTAAATGGTGACCGATGGGAATATGCAAATCAAGCGCAGGATATTTAAATCCCGGGCTTGATTTGCAATTTCGGTCGCTCTCATTAGCCTCCCTAGATCGATCTAGGGGACTAGTGTAGACGTGCCCTTACTTCAAAGAGACTTTAATACCAGACTACAGAGGGAAACCTCAGAACTGTCATTCATGCTTAAATCTGACACTTTACGAATGGGCCTTAACAAAGATACTAATTACCTTACCCATTACAAAGAGAGCTTCCCCAATTATCACCCCTAGTTCATCTCATAGATGCTAGCCCTCCCCCTCACCTCCCTTCTGTTCTAAATCTGATTTGTCAGTTTTATAATGTGTTCACTTTTTTCATTGTATTCCTTTGGTATATATGGTCATGCCAATTCTCTTTGGGTATGTCTACACTACCCCGCTAGTTCGAACTAGGGGTAATGTAGTCATCCGCAGTTGCAAATGAAGCCCGGGATTTGAATTTCCCGGGCTTCATTTGCATGAAGCCAGCCGGCACCATTTTTAAATGCCGGCTAGTTCGAACCCCGTGCCGCGCGGCTACACGCAGCACGGAGTAGCTAGTTCGGATTAGGCTTCTAATCCGAACTAGCTGTACTCCTCGTGGAACTAGCGGTGTACTGTAGACATACCCTTCCAGAATTTGATCTGAGGAAGTGGGTCTGGCCCACGAAAGCTCATCACCTAATAAACCATCTTGTTAGTCTGTAAAGCGCTGCATAGTCCTGTCTTTTGTTTCAGCTTGATCAGACTAGCACAGCTGCATCTCTATCCCTATAACAAAGTGAACAGAGCGAATATAAGGCCCACTTTGTCACCCCCCGCACCGTGGGCTCTGCAGCGTACGGCTTATACTTCAGAGCCTGTAGCACAGCTAGCTCCCCAGGAGCGGGGCTGGCAGGAGCCAGTGAGCACCCAGAGCCAGCTGCAGAGCCCACAGCACAGGGTGGCAGCTAGCTTGCTGGGAGCTGCAGGGCACCCTTCCACCATCTTTCCCTCCCTAGTTCCACCCAGCCAAAACAAATTAGCCATATAACTGCTGGGATATTATGGTTACTTAAAAAACCCCTTTTTACATTCCTCCCAGCTACCTCGCACGTCAGAGACAGAAACATGCTAGGGTGATAAAATGCAGGGCCACGTTCTACCAGCCTTCACTGTAACCAGCACCGTGGTGAAGGGCAGCATGGTACAATGGTTAGGGGATAGTCCAAGGAGTTAGGGCTTCTGAACCCTAGCCCTGAGTCTGGGAGAGACTTGCTGGGAATGAGGCTGAGGAGAACAAGGTGACTGCCTTTGCTGGATGGAAATAAGGGAAAGCTACATGGGGGATGAGGCTTTATTTTAAGGGGTGTTTTAGAGAAACACCATTTCCCATAGCAAAGCCTTGATTTTTTCTCTCAATCATACATTTCTACTGCCCTTGAGCATGCCGGGCACTTCCCATTAACTTGAGTAGAATGTTTCAGCTGGGGCTAATTATCAGTGTTAATACATCGTCAAACAAGGGACAGGTGATGGCGTTCTTGCCGGCAAGTTAAGGAAGTATGGATTGGATAGATGGGCTGTAAGGTGGGTAGAAAGCTGCCTAGATTGTTGAGCTCACTGGGTAGTGATTGTGGAAGGTAAAATGGAAGGTTCGAGAATGTGGCCAGCCCCAGAGAGGTGCAGAAACAGGCAGCCTTGTATTGAATATTTTTTTAACTTTTATTAAAATGCTTTTAACTATAACTTTTTATTTATCAACTTTTTACATGCGTGGGCGCCAGATAATTATTAACAAACAAACTGCAATACAATAGAGGAAAATGCCCTAGGGTTACTCTAGGTCTAAGTAATTATCAATAATACCCCAGGGTATGTCTACACTACAGCGCTAATTCGAACTAACTTAGGAGACTAAGGGTCTCCTAAGGAGCGGGCGGGCGGGCGGAGAGCTGACTGCAGAGGAGGCAGGAGCTCCTTGGAGGGAGACAAGCTGGGGATAGCCGGATGAGGGCCAGCCAAGACTCCCCTGGCTAGGGGCTGGAGGCAAAGCCCCGGTTTGGAGGTGGACCTTGATACAGCCTAGGTAAGCAGGGCAGTTGAGACGACCCTGATGCCTATGATGAGCAACCCATACAGACTGTAACTTGCCCTGAGAGGGGCTATATGAGGACAGTCAGGGGGCACTGAGGTGTGCTGGGGGTGTGAACCCTGTGACAACCTCCAAACCCCTCATCATTTTAGTTGCCCTTCTCTGAACCTTGTCCAATGCCAATATATCTTTTTTGAGATGTGGACACCACATCTATACGCAGTATTCCAGATGTGGGCATACCATGGATTTATATAAGGGCAATGAGCTATTCTCCAACTTATTCTCTATCCCTTTTTTAATGATTCTTAACATCCTGTTTGGTTTTTTGATTGCTGCCATCTTCAGAGATTATATATCCACGATGACCCCAAGATCTCTTTCCTGATTAGTTGTAGCTAAATTAGCCCCCATCATATTATATGTCTACTTGGGGTAATTTTTTCCAATATGCATTACTTTACATTTATCCACATTACATTTGCCATGTTGCTGCCCAATCACTTAGTTTAGTTCTCACTACCGTATTTTCTGGCGTATAAGACTACTTTTGATGTTAAAAAACATCCCCCAAAATCAGGGGTTGTCTTATATGCCGG